ATTAACTTGACCAAATTACTAATATTTGTTTTTACTTATGTTTTTAAATTTGTAGTTTTTGGGGATTAGTGTTTTATCTGGTTGTTAGCCGCCCTGAGTCCGTAAGGAGAAGGGCGGGATATAAATTAAATTAATAAATAAAAATTAATAAATAAATAAATATTCTCTCTCCTTTGTGAAACCAGGGAACTGACCCATTTTAAATTGCAGTTGTGATTCCAGGCAAGAAAAGGACTGTGAGACGCTTCTTACACATTTTAAATTGCCACGAGGGCTGTTAAATGGCACCTGCCAGCAGCCAATGTCCCTTGAGTCAGAAATTAGTTTCTCATGCACATGGTTTGCTTTGAAATCGCACCTACCAGTTCCATTCTTGCTGGAGTGCTTATTTCTAGGAATTTTTAAATATTCATTTCTTTCTTTATTTTCTCCTTTAAACCTGAAGATCCTCAAGATGAGAATAAAATTGGCATAGACGGCATACAGCAGTTTTGCGATGACTTGGCACTAGACCCCGCCAGCATTAGTGTCTTGATAATTGCCTGGAAGTTCAGAGCGGCGACGCAGTGCGAATTCTTAAGGATGGAATTTATGGACGGGATGACAGAACTTGGGTAAGTGCTAGGGCCCATCCTGTGATGATGCATGTAGAGCCCGTTGGGCTAAAGCGGCACTAAAACTCTGCCCATGGACTGTTTTATTTACAGAAAGACACTCTTTAATTTCCTGCCAAACCAGTCTCTGGCCTAGTTGCGCATTGATTCTGGTGCATAACAAGGCTTATAAGCTTTGCACTTACAAGCACTTTTGTGGCCTGGAGGTGTATATATATGTGTGTGTGTGTGTGTGTGTGTGTGTGTGTGTGTGTGTATGTATGTATGTATGTATATATATATGCAGGTCTTGGCGTATTCGGGTCTTTTCCCGTGTAAGATTGAGAGTATCTTGGCAACGTTTCGACGAGGTCCCACTCGTCATCTTCCGGCTGGGGTCTTCGGCTTCGTGCTTGTGCGAGCAAAGTGTGATTGGAGCTGCCGTCTCTCTATAAATATTGGTGGGGGTGTGTGGAGTGCTGGCTTTGTTGCTGTAGGTGGGTTGGTTGGCTGTGTTGGAGTTATTGTTTGGGGATTGTTCGGCTGTTTTGTAACAATCCGCAAACAATAACTCCAACATAGCCAACCAACCCACCTACAGCAACAAAGCCAGCACTCCACACACACCCACCAATATTTATAGAGAGACGGCAGCTCTGATCACACTTCGCTTGCACAAGCACGAAGCCGAAGACCCCAGCCTGAAGATGACGAGTGGGACCTCGTCGAAATGTTGCCAAGATACTCTCAATCTTACACGGGAAAAGACCCGAATACGCCAAGAAGGAGCAAAGTGGCTTGAGTGGCTGGAACGCTGGGCAGGAGGTTAGCAAGCCCGAGTTTGAGACCCAAGAGTTGCTATGGGGTGGGGTGGAGCTCTCGTTCTTCACTCCAGCTCCTGCTGGGGACATAAAAGGAGCCCCCAACTGGGTGTCCCCAGGTCAACAGTGATGTCACCGGCTAATGCTAATCCTTTCAACCCAGGAGCTGTCTGATACGGTGATTCTGACACAAGTGCAAAACAATTTAAAAAATAATAATAATCAAGTGTTACAGCAATGTTTTCCAAACTTGGGCTGCTTTTAAGATGTGTGGACTTCAGCACCCAGAATTCCCCAACCAGCATAGGCTGGTGGGCTGAGGAATCCTGGGAGTTGAAATCCACCCCTCTTCAAATGGCCATGCTTGAAAAACACGGAGTCACAGAGTAATGGCAGTGGTGTGGTGACAGAATTAAGAGGAACAACATTGTCCGTCTCTTTTTTTAAATTGTGTTTTTGAAGACTTGTGTTTAGCTTTTGTTTTTTAATTGTCGTAGGTATAGTAAGATCACCTGAAAACATTTATTTTTACTACACAAAGTGGGAAATCATTGTATTTTTGTTGCGTTGTCTGTTGGGCCGTGAGGACTCTGATGCTTTTTCTTTGGAATATTCATTCGTACCTGGAAGTGTAGAAGAAAATGCTCCTTACAGACATATTAGTACTAGAACTGCACTTGTGTATTTGTTTACTCCTTTGGCATGTGTGTCGATGCAAGGTGTGAGAAAACTGTGAAGCAACATAGATGTTAGTGTTCCATATGGCAGTTTTTATACTCCCGATGTTTTCTGAAATGAAGGCAAATACACAGACTATCACATAATTGACTTGAATTTCTAAGAAATTCCTTTAAGATATAACCTTTCCCTGGTATATATTTTTGTCTCGGTTGCCATGTTCACTTATTTGAAAACAAATAAATTATTGGAGACGACCTGAAAGAGAAGCTGTGATAATTCTTGCAGAATTGTTCTAAACCTCTGCCTCATGTGGAAATTTCACCCGTAAGCGATTTTGCAAATGTATAGATTAAATTAGTATTGTAATAAAGCACATGATAGAGAACTTCAGAGATCATCCATTCTAAAAGCAGCTATCGGTTGTCCTTGACTTGCAACCTTTTGTTTAACAACTGTTTGAAGTTACAGTGACCTTGGAAAAAGTGACTTATGACCTGTTCTCACATTTATGACCAGCTGCAGCATCTTGCAGTCTTTCTCGATTGTGATTTGCTACCTTTTTTTTTTTGCCAATTTCCAGCAAAAAAGGGAGCCGTGGTGGCGCGGTGGTTAGAATGCAGTACTGCAAGCTAACTCTGCCCCCAGTCTGCAGTTTGATCCTGACAGGTACAAGGTTTTCTCGGCCTTCCATCCTTCCGAGGTCGGTAAAACGAGGACCCAGATTGTTGGGGGCAAAATGCTGACTCTGTAAGCTGCTTAGAGAGGGCTGTAAAGCACCGTGAAGCGGCGTATAAGTCTAAGTGCTACTGCTCTTGCTGAAAACACCCACGGGGGAACCAGGATTCACTTCCTGACCACATGATTCGCTTAATGGCCATGCGTTTCTCCTAATGACCCCAGTAAAAATGGCATAAAGTTAGGTCCAACTCCACCTACAACTGCAAGGATTTGTGACAGAAATTCCTGTCCCAATTGTGACCCTAAGTCAGGGGTAGGCAACCTTGGCTCTTTTATGACGCGTGGACTTCAACTCCCAGAATTCCTGAGTCAGCTCTGCTGACTCAGGAATTCTGGGAGTTGAAGTCCACGCGTCATAAAAGAGCCAAGGTTGCCTGCCCCTGCCCTAAGCCAAAGACTACCTGTATATGGGATACGGAAAGTCCTCGATTTACAACCACAACTGAATCCAACATTTCCATTGCTAAGCAAGGCAATTGTTAAATGACTTCTGCCCCATTTTGCTAACTTTTTTTTGCCACGGTTGTTAAGCGAAGCATCGCAGTTGTCCAGCGAATCGCGTAAACGTTAAGCGAATCTGGCTTCCCCCATTGACTTTGCGCCCAAGCTTCGATCACGTGACCACGGGGGAGGCTGCTGTGATTCTAAGTGAGAAAAAAAACCTGGTCAAAGTCACTTTTTTTTCCCCCAGTGCCGTTGTGACTTCGAAGGGTCACCAAACCAAAAGGTTGCAAGCCTAGCACTGCCCGTGTCAGTACAGTCCGTAGAAGGATTTAAAAACACGCAGCGTGATGTGCTGACTGGAAGAGGAGGAGAAAAAAAACACAACCCCACCTTTTTATGTATTGATACAGATGTGACAGCATAGAAAAACTAAAGGCCCAGCTTCCTAAAATGGAACAAGAATTGAAAGAGCCGGGAAGATTTAAGGACTTTTACCAGTTTACTTTCAACTTTGCCAAGAATCCAGGACAGAAAGGTTTAGGTATGTATATGCCAGCGTTTCCTAGCTCAGGGAGGAATGACTCATCTCAGGCACCGGAAAACAGATTCCTCAGCAGTCACTGGGGCTGAACAGGATGATGGAAACGGCCTTTTCCTCTCCGGCGTGATGCCGATCGATTGAGACAAGCCCATTAGTAGTAACTGTGAGAGGGATCTCGGAGTCCTAGTGGACAATCGTTTAAATAGGAGCCAGCAGTGTGCTGCAGCTGCCAAAAAAGCCAACACAGTGCTGGGCTGCATTAACAGGGGGATAGAATCAAGATCACGTGAAGTATTAATACCACTTTACAATGCCTTGGTAAGGCCACACTTGGAATACTGCATCCAGTTTTGGTCACCGCGATGTAAAAAAGATGTTGAGACTCTAGAAAGAGTACAGAGAAGAGCAACAAAGATGATTAGAGACTGGAGGCTAAAGCATATAAGGAACGGTTGCTGGAATTGGGTATGTCTAGTTTAATGAAGAGAAGGACGAGGGGGGACATGATAGCAGTGTTTCAATACCTCAGGGGCTGCCCCAAAGAAGAGGGAGTCAAGCTATTCTCCAAGGCGCCTGAAGGCAGGACGAGAAGCAACGGGTGGAAGCTAACCAAAAGAGAGAAGCAACCTAGAACTAAGGAGAAACTTTCTGACAGTGAGAACAATTAACCAGTGGAACAGCCTGCCTCCAGAAGCGGTGAATGCACCAACACTGGAAGTTTTTAAGAAGAAACTGTACAGCCATTTGTCCGAAATGGTATAGGGTTTCCTGCCTGAGCAGGGGGTTGGACTAGATGACCTCCAAGGTCCCTTCCAACTTTATCATCATCATCATCATTATTATTATTATTATTAAGGTCCCTCAGCAAAGTTTCAAAGGTGCCCTTCCCCAAAAAAGGCAACTGGGTTTTTCGGTTTCAGTTCACTTCAGAACTGAAGAAATTTCTTGGATGAGAACTGAAAGAAAAAAACAACAACAACCCAGTTGCCTTTTTTTGGAAAAACACCTTTGGGACAACCACGATCTGGATGATTGAGAGTCTCCGTAGACCTTCCCTCAGCAAGTGTCATTTCACAAAGTTGTAGTTTGCCAGACACGAAGCCCTGCTGTCAAAGCTTTACAGTTGTTTAGAGGCAGTTTCTAGCTTTTTCCTCCCTCCCTGAAGGGCTCTGTTGCTGATCAAGACAACAAGGCACCCCTGAAATTTTAGGGTAGGGTTAGAAGCAAACTCTGCTGACTGTGAAGAGGGACACAAGGGACACAAGGGAAAAGAGAAAACCCATTGTAAATGTTTGCTTCTTTTAGCCTAGTGCAGGGGTAGGCCACCTTGGCTCTTTTATGACTCGTGGACTTCAACTCCCAGAATTCCTGAGCCAGCCATGCTGAGGGGAAAGGGAAAAGTTTCCAAGCTGAGCCATGCTGGCTCAGGGATTCTGGGAGTTGAAGTCTACGAGTCATAAAGTGGCCTAGGCCTAGGCCAGAGGTAGGTAACCTTGGCTCTTTTATGACTTGTGGACTTCAACTCCCAGAATTCCTGAGCCAGCCGTGCTGAGGGGAAAGGGAGAGGTTTCCAAGCTGAGCCATGCTGGCTCAGGAATTCTGGGAGTTGAAGTCCACGAGTCATAAAAGAGCCAAGGTTGCCTCTACCCCTGGCCTAGTGTCTAGTTGGGATAGTCCGAGAAGTCTTTGGTGGGGGTAAAGGTGGAAAAATCCTGAAATCCAGGAACATTTGAAGCATCCTTATGCTACAGAATGTTTGCTTTACTTTGTTAATTATGCATTCCAAAAATGGTCGTTCTGGATCATAATGCTTTAAAAAATAAATTCTTTAATGTTACAGATTTAGAAATGGCCATTGCCTATTGGAACTTAGTACTTCATGGAAGATTTAAATTCCTAGACTTGTGGAACAGATTTTTATTGGTAAGTTCAAATATTAATTGTGTCTTAACAAATACATACATGTCGAGTGTGTGTGTGTGTGTATGTGTGTGTGTGTGTGTATGGTATAATCAATACCATTATGAAATCGAGTCTAGATCAAGAATTGTTGCCTGTGAACGTAATAGTAGGTCAGATTGATGTTAGAGTGAACTGGCGGATTTTCTTGTCTCTACTGATAGTCCTTGATTTACAACAGGTGGCTTAGTGACCATTCAGTTACAACAGACTTTCCCAAAGCTACTTACACCCGGATATGAAGTTCTGACAGTCAGGCTTACCCCCCCCCCCCTATAATCACCTTATCACATTTTGGACGCTTGGCATTCGGCCCACATTTGTAGCTGTTTGTAGCATCCCCCAGTCATGGGGCCATAATTTATGATGTCAAAATTTATGAAATCAAAACACCCATTGCTGGATTCACTTTATGACTGCCGCAAAAAAGATCGTGAAATCTGGCATGGTCATCTGGAGACCCGCTTACTAATCGGCATGTCTTACAACTGTAATTCCAGGCACAATTATGGTCATAAGTTGAGGATTACCTGTATTTGTAAGGCACCAGAATTACTTGGTTGAGTTGGACGGCTATGGAAATGAATGAATGAATGAATGAATGAATGAATGAATGAATAAAGGAAGGAAGGAAGGAAGGAAGGAAGGAAAGAGAGAGAGAGAGAAAGAGAAAGAAAGAAAGAAAGAAAGAAAGAAAACAAATAAAATCAGAAATTACAAAAGAAAATATTTAAAAGTTTTAATTGCAGATTGATGACTGAGCAAAGGAATGTGTGAATTCTCAGTCATTTTAAACACCGCCTGTCCTTGGCCTTGAAAGGGTTGTCTAGGAATTGCTGACCGGACCATTTCTGCTTTTGTGGATTCTGCATGAGCATCTACAGCCCATTAAATCTGGCCCAGAGCCCAGAGGAGGCACTCTATTTTAACTGAGCCTCCAGCCAGGCCCTCCGTTGATGGCCCTCCCCAAAGCGGAGCAAAGCCTTACTTCTGAGCACTGCCCGGGAGCTACAGCCACAGTAGCAGCCCCTTCACTGGAAGTGAAACAGTCTCTCTCAGTGCTTTGAAAGCGTGGAAGCCAAATGCCTTCCCAGTCCTGCTTTACTCCCAACACGTGAATTAAGCCGATCTGAGAAGCAAAGCTACGTCGCTGTGCAGAACCGTGGTGCTCAGCAAATGATTAAAATATCAATGATGTCGAGATCTGAGATCCAGATCATTTCAGCCTGGCTGTCCCAAGAAATGTGAAGAGGGGATCCTCCAGTCTTGGAACCACAACGTGCCAAGCCTTAGAGTCCTGTTGAGGAATCAATAGATCAGTAACCTCTTGACTTATGACGGTGGGATTTTTCTCTCAAACAGGAACATCATAAAAGATCTATACCGAAGGACACTTGGAACCTTCTTTTAGACTTCAGTGCAATGATAGCAGACGATATGTCAAATTACGACGAGGAAGGTAATGATGCTTCTTGAGGCTACTGCAACTCACATTTTTTTTTAACCAACATTCCCCGGTTTAATTTTTCCCCCCCCTGCCTTTATTATTTTTAAAAATAGTTCAAGGCGGTGAACATACCTAATACTCTTTCCTCCTCCTATTTCCCCCACAACGGCAGCCCTGTGAGGTTGGTTGGGCTGGGAGAGAATGACTGGCCCAAAGTCACCCAGCCAGTGTTCATGCCTAAGGTGGGACTAAAACTCAGGGTCTCCTGGTAATTGGCTCAACGTCACTCAGCTGGCTTTCATGCCTAAGGCGGGACTAGAACTCAGGGTCTCCTGGCTTTAGCCTAGTGCAGTGGTTCTCAACCTGTGGGTCGGGACCCCATTTGGGGTCGATCGACCATTTCATGGGGGTCGCCAAGCAAGGCTGTCTGCCATTTTTTTTGTCCGCCATTTCCCCCCCCCCTTTTCCGGCGGGTGCCTTACCTCCCTTGGGCTGGGCCAGCTGGTGATTGGCCTGCTCCGTCTCTGCCGCTTGCCAGCTACGCCTCAGCCGGCGCAGGGGGCGGAACCACGCATGCGCGGCGCTCCCGGGCAGGGAAAGTCCTTGACTTACGACTGGTTGGGTAGTCCTCGACTTACGACCGGTTTAGTCCTCGACTTACGACCGGTTTAGTCCTCGACTTACGACCGGTTGGGGTCGCGGCATTAAAAAGGTTGAGAACCACTGGCCTAGTGCCTAAAGCGCGAGACCGAACTCTCTCTGTATGTGCCACTGATGCTGCTCAAATGCAATAGTTATTTTCCTCAACCCTTAATCTACCATCTGATTTGTTCATCAGTTCTCAGAGGGGTGTTTTTTTTTTAATTATGAGGAACCCAGAGAGTAAGCAAAGATTTGTTTGTCCAACATCTGAAAATAAGGCGGATTGGTCATTGCCATAGAGACCATGATCTTAATCCCAGAGAGCAGCCTTAAGCAAGCTACAGTATAAAAACCTGGCTTTAAAATGAATGGTGCTCACAGGCATTTCCTTGCTATGAAGGTGTTTTTTCCCTTATTTCAACAAAACCAGCTTGCCAAACCAGCTACTGCTGAGTCACTAACCCTGCCGTGTTTCCCTACTGCAACTCACCAGGCCATTGACTGGGCAAATTTTAACAATCCGTCACACCTTTTCCTGTGTTACGTTTTTTTTTCTCTGATTGCTTGAAAGGCCTACTGACATATGTCGGTGTTGACTTTAAGGCCCTTTAAATCCTGTAACAATTTAGGGCAGTGGTTCTCAACCTGTGGGTCGGGACCCCATTTGGGGTCGATCGACCATTTCACGGGGGTCGCCAAGCAAGGCTGTCCGCCATTTTGTTTGTCCATTTTTTTTGTCCGCCATTTTTTTCCCCTTTTACGGCGGGTGCCTTACCTCCCTTGGGCTGGGCCAGCTGGTGGTCGGCTTGCTCCGTCTCTGCTGCTTGCCAGCTATGCCTCGGCCGGCGCAGGGGGCGGAACCACGCATGCGCGGCGCTCCCGGGCAGGGAAAGTCCTCAACTTACGACCGGTTGGGTAGTCCTCGACTTACGACCAGTTTAGTCCTCGACTTACGACCAGTTTAGTCCTCGACTTACAACCGGTTTAGTCCTCGACTTACAACCGGTTTAGTCCTCGACTTACGACCGGTTGGGGTCGCGGCATTAAAAAGGTTGAGAACCACTGATTTAGGGCCTGGTTCTTATGACGGTCCATGTCTCCTACAACTTACCTTTCTGGTTGTTTAGATCAGTGGTTTTTTTTTTTTAAGTGGTTCTGGGACCCCCCTGAGGGTCGCTCAAGACCCTCTCAGGCGCCCGTCAAATCAAAACTATTGGCCAGATGCTGAAGTTATTTGCAAAAAGTTAAATTAGTGTCCCCCTTATTATTGTTTGGGTCTACTATTGCCGTTTCTACACGAGTCAAGAAATAATTAGTGTGTGAGCGTGTCAATTTTTAACTTTTCATATGGTAAATATTGATAGATACAACCTTCTTTATAGCTCCCAAGACCATGGAATACACTCCCCAGCCAAGGTTCATAGGTTCAAATCCCACCTTAGCTGTGAAAGCCAGCTGGGTGACTTTGGGCCAGTCACCATCTCTCAGCCCAAAGCACCTTACAGGGTGATTGTTGTGGGGAAAATAGGAGAAAGAAGTATTATGTGTGTTCACAGCCTTGAGTTATTTGTAGAGATAATAAAGGCAGGATACAAATAAACTGTTAAATTGTCTTGATTTCGATGTTAATGCCTTACGTTTAAATTGTATTTTGTTGTCCAAAGCCATCTTCAGGGCATATGTATAGGAGGATAATCATAATCTGAAGAGCTGGCATTTGTTGTTGTTGTTGTTGTTTTTGTTTTGCTTTCTTTCTGAGAGAAAAAGGTAAACTAATCTGGCTTGCCTCTTCCGGATCCATTGCCTACGCTTCCCTGGGGCTGGTTGCAAAAACACTGTCTGGGAGCAGGGGCAAAGATTCCCAGGATGAGAAAGCCTGAGTTAGCTTAATTCTGAAATTCTTGGGCCAGAGTGAAAATAAAACCCAAGGAAAACTTTGTTCAAGGAAGGAAAGAAAACGTGGGTGGATTTCAGCGGGAGAAAAAAAAACACACCGATCCTTTCATTTTATAAATGAAAGGTCCCTTGGACTGTGTTTAGCAGAGACTTAATGGCTGTGTGGCCTCAAGTAGGAAGAGGAGAGCTCTTCTAAAGAAGAACTTTTGAGAGAAATTAGGAAAAAAATCTCAGAACTGCTTTATTGTGGAACACTAAGGCCTTGTTTGTCAGTCCTAGAAGAGATCAACCCCGACTGCTCTTTAGAACAGGGCTTTTCAACCAGGGGTACGGGTACCACCTGTGGTACATTGGCACCTGGCAGGTGGTACGCGACCATCCTAGAAAAGCGGTAGCAGGAGAGGGGAATGAGCTGAACCGGTGGCAGCACCGCACAAGCCTGAGCGAGAGACGGCTGGAGCTGCAGGGCTGTCAGGGCTCAGCGGAAGCGCCAGGATCAGTGCCGCTTTCCAGCTGATTGGCGCTTCTTCAGGGCTGTCAGGGCTCAGCGGAAGCGCCAGGATCAGTGCCAGGCTCCAGCTGGAGCTCGGCACTGATCCTGGCGCTTTTGCTGAGCCCAGAAGAAGCGCCGATCAGCTGGAATGTTGCAGCATCTCCAGGGTCTTGTGATTTACATTCAGATGCTTGGCCACTGATTCATATTTATGACGGTCACAGTGTCCCAGGGTCATGTGAAGTGACCAAAACCTGCTGCAACCAATCAGCAGACGGGGGGGGGGGGGGAATAAAAACCAAACACCCCCCCACCCCCCGCTGCCAATCCTCAACAGAAATGCTCACAATAATGAAAACCTCGGGCAGGAGGAAGAGTGCCACCGGGTGGGCAGGCAGGTGTCTTGCTCGGCTGTGGCTTGGGGGGCACTTTTTTCAGTGCCATTGTAACTTTGAACAGTCATTAAGCGAACTGTTGTAAGTCGAGGACTACCTGTACTTTATCACTTTTTTCCTTTTGAGGGGGGTCATCAAGTTTTTGACACCTTGCTAGGCGACTGGTGGTACTCGGATGTTGCCATATCCTAAAAGTGGTACAATGGGTGAAAAGGTTGAAAAGTCCTGATCTAAAACAGATTTAAAACAAATTTTCTGGCTTTGCAGACCAGTGGGGGGGGATGATTCCGTGTCAGTAGTGGGCAAGAGCACACACACACACACACACACACACACTCATGTCCATTTACGTGAGCGGTAGACATGTGCGCCCATCATTCGCGCAAGTGGAGATGTGCACGCTTGCCCACCACTTCCGTGGCCCGGTTCTGAACAGCTCAAGGCCCTGTAGTTGGCCACAGCCCAGGGGTTGGGGACCCTTCCACTGAAAGGGGAAGACAAAAAAAAAGCCACAGTCTTCAACTAAAATTTTGGGAAGATGTAATCCCTTGTCTTTTCCTGTTCTCTTTTTCCCAGGTGCCTGGCCTGTTCTTATCGACGACTTTGTGGAATTTGCACGACCTCAGATTGCTGGAATAAAAAGTACGACAGTGTAGTGCTAACTGAACCTTCTAACCTTGTACCTAGTCTGTACAAATAAACATAATGGGGAAAAAAATTGCAGTCACTTTCTGCCAATGACTGAACTGGACCGAAGACCCAACCCTCAAGAGATAAAAAGCGGAGGGTGGCTGCAAACTTGTAAGGATACACCTTGGACCATATCAGACAGACTACAGGTGGCTTGGGCCCCCCTCTCCCAGCCTGGGCTGCCCTTAACCCCTTGGAAACTCCAGCATTGTGGATATCATCTTTTTCCCTCCCTCCCCTTTTTTTATCGGAGCCTCCTAATGCTTTCCATAGATCTTTTCATGTTTTTGGATGACTCTTTTTTGACATTTCCGGTTCCACCTAAAGTACGTTCTGTTTTTTTCACCAAGCAAAACTCTTTGGTATTCCTGTTTCACAGTTCAGTCTCACAATCCACTTGTCCTATTTCTAAAATGCCGAGAGAGAGAGAAAGAGAGAGAGAGAGAAAGAGAGAGAAAAAAAAGTTATCTTCAGCTAACATATTTTGGGGCTATCTGCAAAGACTGTGCTGAGACTATCCTAAAACAGTGTGTTTGGATCCATTTGTGTTTGTTTTTTTTTTAAAATGGTCGATTTACAGCTGTTGTCAGTGTGAGTGGCAAGGGCTTGTTGTTGTGGTTTGCTTGTGTGCTTGAAAGCAGATGTTGAAATGATCCAGCACAAACCTGGATTGTTGTCCGTCTCTGGAACAGGCTGGCCGGCTGCAGTGGTGCGAGATTCAGTGCCATTGAAACATAGGTTGGTTCACGACTTTGCAGCATCCTTGATGTCGGATGTATTGGGTGCCTCATGTCGACAGAGGAAGCTTCCTTTAGCATCCTGCTTCTGATGGGTGGCTTTTCTTGCTGATGAACACAACAGCCTTTTGCCACCTTGTTTCTGCACCATGTTGTGTGTGCGGCATCAAAAGAAAGAAGGATGATATTGGGCGGGCTTGTATGCATCGGATCGCCAATAGCTGTCCTGCTAACTTAACTGGGCCGTACTGTTTCTCAGGAAGATGTGGGCAGCTTCTTCTGGGAATTGGATCATTATCCCATGTTCCCAAAGTGAGAGAAAGTGTCCACATTTGATCACCTAACTGCTTATTTCTGTCTCTTCTATTTTTTATTTTTTTTATATGGAGTGGTTGAAATTGGAGTATTATTGAGCCTGGCTATTCCTAAGTTTCAATAGGCTTTACTCAGCAAGGACAGTGGGCACTCTAACGCAGGAATAAAAAAATTGCTCATCATAGCTCTTAGACTTACCCAGTCTTATTAGTCTTGAAATATCTTCAGTTACCCAGTCTTATTAGTCATCCATTAATTGCCCAGCTTTATTAGCCTTGAAATGCTCGTTGTCTCTTCAAGGAACACTCTCCTTCCCCCAGCCACTAAGTTCTACTGAATTCTTAAGACTTGAATGCAATACTCAAAACTTGTAATACTTGCTACGTTTTATGAAACTCTTGATTTGGGCCCAGGAAAGTTTTTGAAAATAGCAATGAATGTAATGCAAATTTATCTTTTGAGGCTGAGTAGCATAAGCCAAACCCACTCGCGTAGGAATAGAACGACCACGAAGGCGGTGGGTTGACTTGGTTCTCATTTTATAGCTGCAGTTCACTGTGATCATCGTGCAGAGACATCAGTGCCCAGACCAAGCTTTTTTTCTGTGAGCCTGTGCAAACCTCATCAGCCCGACGCCTGCAGGTATTTAGGATTTCAGATTTGACAGTGGGAGTAAGTAGATGGTTTGCAGGTCTGATGGCCTCCAGATGAGGGAAGGGTGCTAGATAGCAACTGCACGAACAGTCACCCCCTCTCCCTTTCGCACTGACCAGAGTGGGGTCTGTGTGTGGAGTAATTATTTAGTAACTGGAGTTCCTACTTATTGCTGGGCCTTCTCTGTTTGGTCATCCATCTTTTCCATGCCACTCCCAATTGTATCGGACGTAACCCGCCCGAATAGGTCCAGCACTTTCAATGGAAGAAAGAGAATCCTTTTAATTTGATTCTGCCATTGTATGCAGCGGAGATTAGCTATGTGCTTTACCGTGGCTGGATCATAACCGAGACTAACGCAGATGTAATGTTTTTTGGTGGTAAAGAAAAAAAAAACACCCCAAAATTGTCCTTTTGGGTACCAGCCAGGGGATGGGTCAGGTGACAATATGCGTGATGCCCTAATCATGTCAATGCTGCAGCTTGCACCCAGACATGCATATAAATTGTAGCATTGGCATGAAAGCATCATGACACACATAGAATAATTTAGTGGTCACTGCAACTTGCTGCAGATACCATTAAGCGCCCCGGAAACGTATGTTGTTCCTTTCTCATCTACTTACCTTGCTCTCTTCTCTTTTCCAGCATAAAAGCATATTTAGCTTTACATTTCAATGAAGGTGGATGCTAACAATAAGGTAGTTGAAAACCAGAACGTGTACTTTTAGGTCAAGAGCTAGCTCAGGACTGCAGATTGCAATCACTGCAAAGTTCAACAGTTTTGAAACACGCTGAAATGGAAAGATTTTACCCAGGCAAGAGGGAGATATCCAGCATTTTCATGTTTTTCAATCATGATGAGAGATTGAAAATGCTACACACCCACCGTGGTCCCAATATGTTTGGCTTGCCACTTTTTTTTTTTTTTTGTCCAACAGTAGACATTTTTTTAACTTAACACTTGTGGTTTTATTCTTTGTGTTTTTATATGATAGCAGCACTTGAAATACCTCCTGGCTTTTAATCGTTTAACACCACTTTGCTCTTTTCTGGGGAAAAAAAATAATCATTTGATAGAACAATATTGGAAACATGGATTCGAGGTATTTAAAACTCCTTTGTAATATTTAAGAACGAGAAGGGGCCGGTTTGATGTAAGTTCATGATGTTTTCTTGCTAATGTCTCTTGTATCCATGACATTAGAATGCACTTTTATGCAGATGCTAAAATAATAGGAGGAAAAATCTTAATTGCTTTTTAAAAAAATAAAAAATGAAACAACTCTTGTCAGGATCCTATAGCCACTCTCTCAGTAACGTTTTGGAAAAGTTTTAAGGAAACCATTGAATAAAATTGGAAATCTTTTAGCTGCTGGAATTGACAAAGTCAAGTATGTTATTTACTCTTTTATTGTTTCTTGTGTAAATATCAGCGAAGACTTGAATTATGAAAAACTCTACAAAGTGTGCGTGTGCTGTTTTCTGTCTTAAAATTTGGGTACAGCTTTCTCAGAATGAGTCATTGATGTATGCTATGTATTTTTTTTTTGTGTGTTCCAGTGTTTTGTTTTTAATTTTAATGAGATGTACTGAATTCTATCCCTATGCTGAAGATTAGGGCATAAATGCCATGCTGTTCTTGTTTTTTAAGATGATTCCTTTTGCATTGTTGAGGCCTTTTCAACAAAATGGAATTTGCCATCAGTTTGGTACTACACAATTTATAATTACTGTGTAATTATAAAACTGCATTACATTAAGCATTGCTGTCTTAAGTAGCAGAGAAACTGAGGTTGTTTGTGTGATAGCATTCTTGAATTTTAAAAAGTGGTTTTAAATCCAGAGGCAAAAATTGGTCACCTGCTTTTCAGTGGGATGTGTACTGTCAAAGTGGTGCTAGGGTTTGACTGTGTTTAGTGGCAGAAATATTTGGCTTAATTATTTGTTTCTGAATGTAAATGCCTGGCTCTAGCAAAGACTAAAAATGTTCAGACATATCCCCATGTATGTGTGCATGCTTTTTTTTTTTTAAGTTTTAAAAATGTAAACTGAATTTCTACTTGGGTTGATTTAATTAATAAAAACAACCCATACGTGCATCCAACGGTAACTTGACCCTTCCTAAATCATTTTCCTTTTGCCAAATACTAGACAAGCAGTAAATGCTTACTAATCTTATCTACTTTTGGAGTTTTATTGTCGTTATGTAAGACTAGATCTTCTCAGCCACACAGATCATTTGGTAATTTTATTTCAGTCACGTGATCAACATTTTTCTGTAATTTGAATTGTTATTACTGCGAAAAATGCTCGCTGCAATCCAGAGTCAATAAAATACTAGCCCAGTTGTCATGGCAAACCTTTACATGAATTATGCCATTGGAGAAGAAGCAAAAATGACTTCGTTTCTTGATTATTTTTATTTTATTTTTTTTTAAAAAAAAAATCATGGTGAAGAGAGGAATAAGAGAATATTGCAAATTAACATTGTGCTTGCCATTAAAAAAATGTAGATTACGGTTGCACAAAGGAGGGTTTCTTGTTCCCAAACATGGTTTGAAGTTCCTAATTTGTGGGGGGGAGTGTGTGAGAAAAAAAAAATGGGTACCTTGATGTTTTATTTGGTTGGTCCAAAGCTATGAATTGTGAACCTGCTAAATAAAGTAACTTATTTCTTGAAAACTACCCTGTGATACCCCCTCTGAAGGACTTTTTTTTTTTTTAAAAAAAAAATAACTTTAAAGAAGCTAAACACAATGAAGAACTGAACTGAACAATTCTGGCCAGAACTGAAGAAGCTTCTTGGATGAGAAGCGAAACGTCTTTGAAGAATAAAAAAACCCGGAGTCCAGTTGCCTTTTGGAAAGCACCTTTGGGTCTCAACTGAATATTGCTTGCAAATCATGTATGTCAGTTGCTAAGAGTTGTAGTTTTCAGATGGCCACTGGCGCAAAAAAAAAAAAAAAAAAAAGCCCCGTCAGCGAATTGCAGAATAAAGCAGGTATTTGTCATTGAAAAAAGGAAGTCTTACCTGCAACAGGTGATGGATTCTGAGACAGTGCCAAATCTGTTATTATAATAAAAAAGGAACAGGTGTTTCAGGTGCTATGAAATGTTCATCCTCAGGTATCTAAAAAGCAGAGTAAAAATGACCTTGAGTCTAGCCCCAGGGGTAGGCAACCTCGGCTCTTTTATGACTCATGGACTTCAACTCCCAGAATTCCCGAGTCAGCACAGCTGACTCGGGAATTCTGGGAGTTGAAGTCCATGAGTCATAAAAGAGCCAAGGTTGCCTAGCCCAATGCTTGGTGGTG